CCAGCAGGAAAAATAGCATCGTCTGCAGCGGGCTTAAATTGCAAGCAATCCAGCAGGAAAAATAGCATCGTCTGCAGCGGGCTTTAGGCTGGGTCTACATTGGATGTCGTAAGTCGTGTAATGAACTGTGATTGGTCAATTTCTTCCGACACGACTTACGACATCCAATGTAGACCCAGCCTTAAGCCCGCTGCAGACGATGCTATTTTTCCTGCTGGATTGCTTGCAATTTAGTAAATTACTAGGAATCCTGAATGCTGAGTGGTGCAATGATAGTAATTTACTAAATCGCAAGCAATCCAGCAGGAAAAATAGCATCGTCTGCAGCGGGCTTTACTGACTTTACTGGCGTGCGAAAAACGCAGCACCAGTAATTTTCATTGCTACCAACTATACTGTTTTCACTGGCAGTAACTAAATCCATTTTCGAACACATCCTATGCCTCCTCGTGAAGTTAGCTGCCAGCTGGTTTGAACATGGCGAAATTAACCGCGGTGTTCAAAGGTGGTAAATGAGTCGAAAGGAAACCGTGTATTTTTAGCAAGTTTTTTTTAAACAGCTGAGGGTCTTGGCGCACTTAATCTTGTACTTAATCTTAAAATAACGATGCAGAAACAATAATTATTTAGTGAACATTAATACTCTATGCATTTTTCGTGTAAAATTTCAGATCTCTCGGATAGTACGGAGGTGAACATAAATTCGTAGAGAATTTTACAAAATTTAGAAAAGTGAACGTTGAAGAATCAGCCGCAAGTTCGTCTTGAAGTGTCGGTCAGAAATGCAATATGGTTGCACGCGACTTCCCTAATCGTTCTCATTTCTCTACGAATTCCTGAAGATTTACAATTCAGAAGTTAAGGCACAAAACTTGAAGAATCGACCCTTAAGCCTATGACACAATGTCAGGCAACAGGCAACAGGAACAGGGAATAGAATTTCTGACGCGTTGGATTGGTTGGAAGAAAATTTTCGACGAATCCAACGCGTCAAAAATTCTATTCCCTGTTCCTATTGCCTGTTGCCTGGCATTGTGTGATAGGCTTTAACCTGGTTTCGGCGCTGCCAACGTCGAAGTCGCTACGAAAAAATACAACGCGTGTGTGTGTGTGTGTGTGTGTTTTCTCACCTGTGTACAGTTTCGCTGCATGTGTGTGGTGTACACGCGCGTGTGCGCTTGTGTGTATTGACACTCGATACAGGTAAGTTGGTGGCCAAAAGAGGGGCGAAGCGGCGAGTCGCTCGACGTCGTCTTCCCACGCTGTCAACCGGGCAGACGACGTCGAATTTCGTGTGCGAACGAGCGGCGGCGGTGAGGACGGCCGGACCTTACTGAATTTTCCTCCCGACAGCACCGAGCGCCGTCGTCGCGATGAAGATAACCAAGTCCACCGTCGTCCTCCTGGTCCTGATACTGATATTCGCCATCCTGGTGGCCAATATAGTTGACTTCATCAGCATCGACCCTCACCTTCCGGACGAGACCCTGGCGGACGGCAACGGGGAGGCGCAGCCCCCACCAAAGTACTACAGCATGGAAGATTCGAGCAACCACCTGATCTGGTTCCTACAGGTGCGTTCAACGCTTGGCATCTGGGATAACCGACAACACGATGCGAGCTAGGACTGTACCTTAGATATACACGTGTTTCACGACGGTTGTTCTTTTATACTTTCAGATAACCGACATACATATAAGTATCTTCAGGGATCCACTCAGAATAGAGGAGTTCAAAGAGTTTTGCAACGTGACGGTGAATTCTATCCAGCCTAGAGTTGTTCTCGCCTCGGGTAACCTTGTATTTCATACATGCGAGAGATGTGTGCCGCATACTTGATCGGAGAAATTAGATTAATGGGATGCTTTGCTCTGGATAGGGGACCTGACTGATGCCATAGCTGAAAACGCGGTCGGTTCGAAGCAACAGCACCAGGAATGGCGGAGATACAGACACATAATAGACGAGACTAATGCCAGCAAGAAAACCCTGTGGCTGGACGTCAGGGGGAATCACGGTGAGGGGGGGACACCCACTCTGTACTGCATACCCGCATATTTGCGCTCGCGTAAATGTCGCCTGTTGAAAACTTGTCAATGCACTTTTTCAGATAACTTCGACATCATCAATTTCGACTCCAAAAACAACTATTACACGCACTACTCTATTCAGGGGAAGAGGCATCCCCGATCTTACATGTACAATGTCAACGCTGGCCTCGAAACGATCTCCTTCATCGCGATTGACGCGTGCTTGAAACCGGGCCCCAAGAGGCCATTCAATTTCATCGGTATTTTAGACCAAGACGAGATTGACAGGATACGACAGTTGGTTAACCAGTCGAAGGAGAGCAACGCTGCTCACGCAATCGTGTTCGGTCATTATCCTACGTCGAGCATAATATCGCGAGCCGATACAAATATCTTGAGTATCTTAGGTGAGGTGAACTACAGCGTATCTCTCTCTTACGGAGACATTACATTCGTGTTGGGTTTACGTGCGATTATACGATGTGTTGTACGTTAAAAGGTAATCACAGAGAAAATATGGTGTATCTGTGTGGCCACTATCACACGTTTGGCAGTATGGTACCCAACATGTACGCGTTACAAAAGTCGGGCTTCCTCGAGCTGGAACTGGCGGATTGGAAGCACAACAGAATGTAAGACAACTTTCGTAATATTCGAGAAGGACAGTTGCTCGTGCATAATTTCATTCGTTGATTTTGTATTCTATAACGCATCACTAGGCTTTAAACATGAGAAAGAATTCTCTGCTCAGGACGAGGACAGTTCTTATGAATACGGCATAGAAAAGTGTGTGTTAATTTTAGTTGCAGCGAATGATGGTATATAAGTAAAATTTATATTCTCTTCTGAAATCCAAGTGAAACTAAGAGCACTTTGCTTGTTTTTCTGTTTGTCATATAAATATTCTTTTGCTCTATCAGCACATTTATTAAATACAACTGTACATGATATTCCGTAAATATTTATCGGTGCTTAATTTAGTTTAGAAATCATCTGACTCGAGTCTCTTTTTCAGGTATCGCCTCGCGGCAATAGATCATGGCCAATTCTCATTCATTGACATACAGCACGGTGATTGGCCCGTAGCGTTAATCACCAATCCAAAAAACGTACTATTTATGATGCCGCAAAAAGAAAATTTGGACACCATCGTCAGATCCACGCATGTCAGGTGACGACATTCTCATTGGCGCTCGTAATCTTTATTTGTGAATCTATTTGGTTTGCAAAATTCAACTTTGCAAGCTGCTTGTTGCAGAGTACTGGCGTTTTCTACGGCTCCATTGAAAACTGTCGAGGTTCAATTGGACAATGACATTTGGGAAAAATGCGACCACGTGGACGGACCTCTCTATGCATTGCCGTGGAACTCGACGAGGTACAAGGAGGGTATCCATCAGATAACAGTTTAGTAAATACTTTCAACGAACACTTGCCAAAGTTAATTAACGTACTGGCTTGAAACACGTACACATTTCGCGTTTCTGCAAGTCAAACTTATATATTTTATATAAATTTCAGGTACGTGTAGTTGACAGTCAAGATAGACAGAAAGTCGTTTCGCACTCTTTCGCTCTCGACGGATCGTGGTTATCCACTTCTATCCTTCCCAAATTACTGCTGTTGTTTAACGCAGTTTATGTCGTAAGTTAAAACAAGTCACTGCGTCTAAGTAAATTTTTGCACAGTGATATATGCAATAATTCAATGTTATCGTCGCTTAGATTCAATTCCTGTACATCGTTGCACTGGCATTGTCAATCTTCCCGCTGTGCTTCCTTCGATTTGTTCATACGCATTACAAGAGTAAGCACCAGTAAAATTTATGTACATCCTTGTTTATATCCTATAATAAAGTGTTACCGCTCGTGATTCAGATAGACGAATAGAATTACCGCGGCGACGCCGTCTGAATTTCTTTCATTTGTGGCTGAGGAAGTTGTGGGTGCTATCCTCCGTCGACAGAGTATTTTTCGGACTGATGTCGTACACGATATGCTTCGCAATCGGTAAGCGTGCAAGTAGGTACACCGGGCAGACTTCTGAAATTAATCTGACGAATCGATTCAAGGCCCGTGGACCATAGGAGAGATAATTGAGGGTCACATAGGCGTGATCTTTGTGTGGGGCACATTCGTCGGAAACATGTATTTACCAGGCGGCTTAACTTACGCTTACGGATTCTCGCAGCTAATAAGTTTCCACATGCCTCTTACACTGATTTTAGCACACCACGTTGACTGTAGGTGCGTGGTCCAGCAATGATAACGTTGCCAGGACGGCAAATACGAATGTTAAGCTTATTAATTTCCCGCACTTCAGATTACAGGATGCCGAATACTCACGAGTCTCGTCCAAGTTCCATAGAGCCTGTCGATTTTATCCAGTTACGGTCTTGCTCCCGGTGCAACTCCTCCTGACCGTTTTCTTGTATCTGGAGTATGGTATAATGGCAGTCTTATTATGCCCGTTGCGAACGGGAAGTATTTTGGTAGCAATAGCATTGTCCTATTATATTGAAAAGATGCCGGTCTCGTGCTTGAGGTTTGTATCAATACTTGCGTCATGGTGTATCCAGCACATCGTAATCATTCTATTTTTTTTTTCAGGTCTGCCGCATCCGTGTGGTATCCCAATGGAACGATTGATAATAACAATTCGAGTCGATAAAAAAAGTAGTAAAATAACACAATTAGAAATTGGCAATGTTTCATTGGGGCGATTACTAATAGGTTTACAGAGAGAAGTTTTAGGGTACTCTATTAGAACTGATATTTTATATAGACCTATCGTGATACGCGGAAGCCAACTACATTAAAAAGAAATTGGTTATGAAAGATAATCGAATTATTTTTCTATGTCGTATTAAGAGAGAGACTCTTGTAAATATCGTTTGCATTTTGTGCTTGTTCGGTAAGTGTTTCATGTTACACTCAATTATTTTGTAATGTATTCGTATGATCGTATTATCGTCGAGTCACGCTTTAAAAGTTTACTTACTAATTTTAAGCTGTGATACGCTTGCGACGCATACGGTGCCATGTGATAATTACTATTCATAAGATTTGCGTTATTATTTGCTGCTTCCGTATTGTTTGTGATTTAACTCGGCGAGTTCTATTAACAGAATGCTTTTATTCTCTCTACAAAGAGAACCCGGATTAGAAAGTCACGGAGGTGAATGTTTATGTATCGTAGATGTTGCCATTGTTTCGTTTCATCTGTATGCTTTGTCTCTTTAACAGCGGAGTTACGATATTTGAGATGAATGTATTTGAATGGCAGAATTGTGATACTTTTCGATTTAATCGACGGAGTTTTAGGAGGCAGGGCTGTGTATTGTAACTTTAGCGCTCTCGCCTGGAATTTTTAATCGAACTTTCTGATCACTTCCTTGTAATAATTTTTCTACTTCTCCGTATTTGAGATTCGTACTGTGTACCCTTTCCTCTACAACACACTGTAGATATGTCTGAAAACAATCTCAATAGATTTAGCGATATATTTTCATCGTAGCACATTACAAAAATGTTAGAGAGAGATATACATATTAGATGTGAAGTTTAATACTGTTTTACATTTGAGAGTGTATTTTGCTCGAGGTGCGCGGCCCCTTCGCACGAGCTACGCCAGTCGCTGCGTTCCTAGAAACGGCGATTGGAGAGTATTTTGTATGTCGCACTTTTAAAGAGGATCGGCCGTCTTCGATGTAGGGTAAAGAAACCGTTGAAAGTAACATCGTTCAATCAAGGTGCGATTATGTTGCCACCAAATACGATTGAACGTAACATTATGTACGGATCATACTTGATGTGTAAACGTACGTACCCAACTGACAAAACTCTATGTGTGATGTGTTTGGAAGTTGCGTAATAAATGCATATAATTGTACACTAGGAATCGCTGATGCCTTCCCATGTGAATTTAGAAACAGGTAGAGCACACATACATTTTCCACGTATGTATATGCAAAATGTATGAATGTGTTGATACGTGCAGAAATTCATGTGGAAAGGCGTCAGTGATGCCTAGTGTACAATCGAGGAATGTGTGACTTCCCATCTTACTCCTGTGGTGATTTTCACAAAGATTAAATACCAATCAATAAAGTACAATGAAAAATCTGCAATGGAAGTTGGCGTGAACTACTAAAATTTACACGATCAATCATGTTAATATAATATTGGTTTTATGGTTTATTACTGTCACGACATTCGCTCGTATTGCATCTACGATTCTGTAATATTCTGTATCTATTTAAAACCACTTTCATTCTGTTGATTATCTAGACCCGGTTTCGCCAGCGTCACTTAATTTTCATTGTTCGCTTAATCCATTGTTTATCTCCTTTTTCCAAGGGGACAGTTAGAGACGAAGGATGAGTTAAGCTGAATGTAAAGTAATCGTTGGATCGCTGAAACCGAGCCTCAGTGATTACCGTTAAAAAAGAAAGATAAATTTCTGTCAATTATTTTGATCGGCTTGTTTTCGCGGGCGGAAATGAAAGAGTCGTGTGTACCGTCAGGTGACGCTAGCCGGCACACATTTTACCAGATGTCGCTGCGATCGACGAGGCTCGAACGCGTCAATTGTTATTTCTGTAATTTTCGCAGATATTTTCGCTCTCGCTACGCCGGTCCACGGCACGTCCGAGAGTGGAGCACCCGCGCTCCTGGTTGCCGAGGTTGCCGAGTAACAGTTCTCGTTGCTAAAAGAAAGGAGAAAGATGAGCAAGCATCATACGCACGAAATGAGCGAACATCCGGAGGTGCAGTGGGCTCTGGAGTTGCTCAAGCCAGATCCCAATAATGATCCCGGTGTTATGTCAAAGTACGCGCCGGAGGCGGTGTGTGTGTCGAGCGGCTTTGCCATTCCGTCGCTGTCGAATATGTTTAATAACAGGCCGTTCTACGCCGGTGAGTGAACCTAACCTCGCCACGCGGTTATGTAACACGATGCTCGACTTTGCCGACACTCGCGCGACACTTGTCGCGTTTTGCGTACGCATACCTTTCTCTCGCGTCTCCACGCGGCGGCGAGAGGATCCTCGCCGATCGACTCGTCATTAATCCCTAAATTTCTTGTTACCGGGTCACTGGTATCATTTTACGATTATGAAAATTTATAATTAACATTTAAATTGTAGCGTGCACGACAGGCCTTAACATTTTACAATTGTTATGGAAGTCTCGGATAAGTATTTGTTACACTTACTTAATTTTTTATGACGAATGTTACTCCGTGAACCTCGGGAACCGTGCGAGTGTAGTTGGCACTTGATTCTAATTTTGCGACGGACTCGAAATTTAAACCTGAAATTGTGGGCCTTCGAGTAACAAGTCGACATTTACTGGCCCACGATCTCAAACTGAGGCTATTCTTTGTGTCTAGGAATACAGAGGCATGTCCTCTTCATGATAGGGGGATATGTTGTGGCGCAAATCTCGAAGAAGCTTCTTGACGATTTCCAAGCGGAACGTGACACCAAACTGAGAGATTATATCATACGACACCCGGAACTCTTTCCCGAGCCAGGTAACGTGCTCTTCTCACTTCTTGAAATTAAAACTGAGAGAACTGTCTGTACTGCCAACTGCGTGTGTACTTCACAACTAACGCCTGTTTCTGCCAATGCAGTTTAACTTCAGCCTCGGTTCAACTTAATTTGTATCTTCTTCTAGTTTTACGAATTAGAAGATGATGAGAAGTAATTTAAAACCTGGATCAAAGTTAATCCGCATTGGTAGAAACGGGCGTAAGGATATTTACTCTGACTGAAACGTCTTCTTTTTCCAGAGCGTGTAAAGTACAGTCAACTGTTGCAGGAGTGGGTCCCGGTGCGTTAGTTCTCCAAGACTGTTTGAGGTGATTGCACCATCTCGATTGTGGACAGTCGTGCGGGCAGACGTGCGTTCTGACGCAATGAATGTAGACATATTGTACATACACTTAAAAAAATACACGTGTAAATTATATAGCGTTTCGGCTAAAACGAAAACAAGACGCCATTTAAAGTAAGATAAACAAGATAATGTGTATATATATATAAGGGTGATCATTTCAAGCTGCTCTGCTATCTAGAAATAAAAGGCGGATTGTTTTTTTTTCTTAGATTTTATGTAGCATCAAAACGTTTTATTTTCTCTTTCAGATTGAGCGGTACACACTTAACATTAATTAGATGCGAACGTCGAGTATACGGAGATAGGCGTATAAGTTCACGCATACTGACTCGTGCATTCAGGATACAAATTAAAATTTCATGAGATTTCTCCAATATTAGAAAGCCAGATGCTTGACGCGGGTGCAGCGTCGATAATGGATCTATATCGCGCGCGCACCCAAGACATCTACCTTGATAACAACGAAACGCGAATCGCTTGCGCTAAATTAAGTCTAATTCACTCAAGTGACACTCCCTATTTCTTTTCAGGATTGTAATTATCGTTGTACAGCCCTGTACCCTTCGAGTCTCCCAACCACGGGTACTTGTTCGGGCACTCCCTGCACGTTTCCATGTACCTGGTAACAGTTAATATAAATGCAGTTGGCAGTTGGCTAAAAACTTTAGCGACTATTCGACAATTCTGTAACGTCGACGGTTGTATCAGTTTTTACCTAGTCGTTGTGAAATTCGATTCGGGAGGCTTGAAGTCTAAGGCGCACTTGTGCGGATTGTTGCACGGCGGTCCGGGCAGATTCTCTTTCTTCTTGCACGACCACCCTTCGAAGTTGTGCAGAGCCTTGATCGGCTTTGGATCGGTCATCCATGTCAACGCCTGCGTGGCGGTGACGAAGTAGACGTCAGGTCTGCAAAAGTTCAGTGTTTGCTACCAAATGGATACAAGAGATTCTCGGTGGACGTCGCGCGTTATGTACGTTGACTCACAGCGTTACCACCCAATCGAGAAATTTCGACAGACCGCGCTCCAATTCCTTGATCTGGAACCAATTGGTATGGAAAGGCATCATGTACGGCGCTCTGTTCTGCTCGTAGTATCTGTTGAAGTCCTCCTGCAGCCAATCGAACACTTCCTCGGGATCGTGATTGTGAAGAACGCATTGGTCCAAGTAAGGGCAGTGTCCACCCTCGTAACTCTCCACGTAATGTGCATTCAGGGGTAACTCCCAGATGCCTGCGATAGCGGATAAACGTTTCTTTAAAAATTGATATCCACATCCGACACGGTATTTATTGTATTGCAATTTTTATGTTGTACAGACGAGACTAGGCTCTTCGCTACGAATCCTGTTACCTTGGAACGACTTCGTAGGGCAGGTACCCGCTTTACACTCGTGCGGGATCTTGTAATCGAGCGTGTACGGCCAGATCGGCACCTTGAGCGGCGAGATTCCTATGCTACTATCGTATATATATCCAAAGTCCTCGAGCACCTTGTACTGAGTGTTGCGGCCGGGCTTCAGGTAAGGCGCCCGCATACCGACCACCTCGCCGGTCGAGATGTTGCTGAAGTGCTTGAGTATCTCGCGCATTCCGATCATCTCGCCGACCCACTCCTCGTAACCCTTGTCCTCCAGGCCCTTCTGGAGTCTGAAAACATTTTTGCCCTCGTCAGCGAAACGATTCCTGACGCCGCCCCCCCCGGGTGCTCGCCGCTGTTACTCACGAGATCGTCTCGGTCGCAATCTCGTGACCGTCGTGCGCCAGGCTCTGGACCATGTTGTAGTTGCAGTACTCGTGAGAGATGAAGAACGTGCCCCTCAACGGACAGTTGTTGGGATTCAGGCGATCTTGGGTGAATATTTTTTGGTAGTGATCGAAGTTATTGTGATTTATCGCACCATCGAATGTCATTATGATCATTTGCGGCGTCTGGAATCATTCAAATCGTTGTATCTATTCGAAACAGATCATTGCGGTCAGGTCTTTACCTCCTCCGGATGCAGACCACCGGGAATGATCGTGCCGTCTCTGGAACAGAAGCAGTACGGCAGCTGGCATTCCGACGTGTCGCAGCGCTCGGCCAGATCCGTCGGCGGCTCGGTGATTGGTGCTGGCGCTAGAAATTAAAAGTCTGAGTCGTGAAAATTGCGCACGATTCTTGCGAGAAATTATATATTTTGAATGAAGGAAGAAGAAGAAGAGCGAGCTCAAAAGTGACTGCATCGTTGGAAGGATAACTTTTTCAAGACCTACGGTTGCCTCTCCAGATCTTATCCCCGTTGGTTTTGTAAAATCAAATGGTCAATGTAAAGTAAAGGTATTCGCTCTTACTGGCCTCGATGGGTCCGCATCGCGCCTCGTTCCTGAAGGTACAGAACTTGCTGATGTCGTCGAAGTGCAAGCCCGACGGACACCGGTTCAAGTAGGGGTATCCATCGACGCACTTTCGGAAAACAAAGTGCGAACGTACAATCACGGGGCGAATAATCGAGAGTCGACTGGTAAGTAAAAGTAATCGGAGCAATGTGCTAATTATTACCTTGTACATTAACAACAATGTATGAATTACCTGGTAAAACCTCCTGCAGGTTGCCGGATCGGCGAAGTTACCGTTGCCCTGGCCCTCCGGACACCTGAACTCCTCGTCTTTCTTGTCCTCGTCCTTTTTGTTCTTTTGGCAATGCACTGGGGAGATAAAAGAAAGCGCGCGATACACAAGAGGTAAACGGTGCTCTCCATTGATGTGCAGAAAATATGCACGGACGCGCTTCGTATGCGCACAAATACGCCGTGGGAAAGGATTTCTCTCTTTCTCTCTCTCTCTCCTTTTTCCCGCCCTCATGAAAGCGACGAGCGTTCCGTAATGAACTGTAGAATCCTACGCGAGAACTGGAATCCATATATATGTTCTCATTTTTAACGCTCGTCCGCGAGGAGGATCGCTCGCCCGGGGCGATTACAAAAGACCCCGACGTTTTGACTCGTTTCCAGGAGAGGATCGCGTGCGGTCGCACAGATGATATACTGCTCGAAAGCCGCTAAACCGGGAAAATGTCAAGGTTGGGGATCGCTTACTCGAGACACGTTTACGCCCGAGCAGTGTATTTACGCTTTTATATTCCGAATGAGGCCGGCTGACTGCTGGCTATCAAGTGCCTATACGTTCTACTTTTACTGCGTTCTTTCCGTCAAGCGTTGTTACGTGCCGAGCCGCGCGCGATTACAGCCCGGCAGGGACGGTGACTTGAATGAATGGACAGGCTGGTAGCGTACAGTAAAATCTAATCTTTCACGCAACGCGTAGAACGTATCGAGAGCGTTGAGCTCTCCTCCGTAAAAAGTCGCGAGATTCCACCCATTTTCTCGTGTACGGCCGACTAATATTTGTCATTTGTGTTACGTCAACAGGACAGGGAAGAGAGGATGACGCCTCTCGCGCGTGCACGGAGAGCGTCGGACGCGCGTAGAAAATATGGGCGGGAGAAATTCCAAGAGAGAAGTTTGAGAAAGCGAGAAACGTGATTGCGGGCATTCCGATATGTTTGGACACGTGAGTGCGCGCGAACGAGCGTTTATGCGGCTCTTTCGGTGAAACGTGGACGATTAAGAAGACGAGGCAGAGTCGCATTAGCATATACCAAGTGTAAACGAATTCCCAAGCGTCGGCGTATCTGGGAATCGGTCCCGCGCGGTTCCATCGTCGCGTCTTTAAACGCGGAAATTTCAGCAGCTGCGTCAGATAGAAATCTCTGCGAGGCGTTAAACCGATAGAATGTTAATCCACTATTCAGACACACACACGCGCGCGCGCGCGCGAAATGCCAGCGCGCTAATAATATCTTCAGCGCTTGATATTAATCCGGATTCGAGTGGAATACCAAGCATCGCTCCGAAGTCGCGCCGTTAGCGTATCACTCCCTATTTTATTCGGTGAAATAGAGTGGACAGGCGAGAAAAGTATCGGACCTGGACGGTTCAGTAAGGCCCGGAGTTGCACCAACGCACGTATAACTTTAGCTTAATTCACTCCTCGTCTCTTTCTGTTTCCCTTGGAAAGAGACAAAGACCCATGCTTTGAATCCTCTTTCGTCGCTAAAATTGGTTTTGGAGGATCCTCACTGACTGAAAAGGCACTTTTATCGATAGATAAAGAGTAAAGTTAAGCGACGTTGTTGCAATCGGGCCTAAAAACAAACGCCCGGCGAGAAAGGTCCCAGGTCTGCGATCCCTGGTCTGGTTCTCGCCCAAAAGTCATCGCGCGGCGCCTCGTTAGTGCCTACCCGAAGATGCACACCTAATTGTTACCGCGATGGGAATTTTTCCGACTCTTGGAGATGCTTGACTAGCTGAATAACGGTGCATCGCGTCTAGCGCGAGTTTAACGAGAATTCAAACTCTTACGTCTATTCGCGGAACGGACGCGTAAGAGTTGGAGCTCGTTAAACCCGCGCCGGTCCAACACCGCGGCGCACCGTTATTTAGCTGTTCAGCGAAGCGTGCATGCAATCGATTTACACGGAACGCGTGAAGAATCTCTAAGTGCCGGAAGAGCTCCTCGGCTATTCCAGACGCGCGCAAGAGTTGCACAAGTTTTGCGAAACTCATAACGCGCGCCCATTCGCGGCGATAAATAACAGATATGCTTGAGTCGACGTTATGCCTGCGTAATGGGGCTCTCAAGGTTCCTTAAATGTCTCGCGTGCGGCGTTTCTCTTATTGTTAGTGATAAAACTTAAGCTGGCGTTTTAATTGACGAACTTAACATTGAGATTTGGATCGGCTGGGACGCGGCGGTACGGGCGACGCGAGACGAGTACAACGAGAGAAATTGTACGACGGCGACGTGGAGATACGAAGGTATGAAAAATGGTGCGTAGCGCCCGCGAGAGAAAGTAGCGCCCACGAAGATTCTTCCCAGTGACCTTATAATGCGTAGCACATCTTTTCCTCCCGTCCCGTCTGCTCGCGATACCGTGATGCGATCGAGAAGTGAGATTACGCCACATTCTCTTACAAATGGCTGGTATTCATAGATCTTATCAGGTCTTATATTCAAGACCGCCCTGGGAGCACAATACATTGGCGCAGTATTAGGAAATAATGTAAATCTAGTATTTCCAATATTGGTTCAATATTGTAAGCTGGACGCCTTCTCTTATTTAGCCAATATGTCTATCTGTCAATATTGGTTTAACATTGTATCAATATTAGACCAATATTCTTGTTACGTTGTTAAATATTGGCCAATGCACTTCCAATAGGAATCTAATATTATTATCGTGCGATATTTACATTTGTTCCATGGCCAATATTGGCTTTACGGTGGACAATATCGGCCGTTGCATTTCTAATATAACTGCAGCATTGGACCAAAGTTTAGCCAATGCACTGTGCTACTAGGGCGTCTTGAATTTATCTAAAGATGCTGTGCAGAACATTTTACTGGCTACGAAGTATCTAAAGATGATCTTAAGACTTGAACAAAAGATCCGACTGTGAATACCGGCCTGACCCAGTGAGAAATGATTCGTCGATCGATGTCGAAACGATGTCGAATCGACGTCAATTTGACGGTATCGATGTCGATTCGACATCGTTTTGACATCGATCGGCGAATCATTTCTCACTGGGGAGTCTCTCGATTTGTGCAATTATCCTCGAGAGCCACCCGCATCCGTGGTAATCGACCTCAGGGCAAGATAATTGCACTCTTCGACGATTCCTAAACGTAAGGCGCAAACGAGGTAATAATGCTTTCCCGATACAGTGCAGGAAATCGGAAATTGCATGTGGAAACACCCGACGCGCGTAACTCGATCGCTCGGCGATTAAAGCCCGGCAATGCCGCGGAATTGGCGACCTGACTTTCGCTGGACTTCCTGATACAGCGACGGACGTCTGCATTCTAAACGATTCGACTCGAGAGAGGTGAGCTCAAAGTAACGAACTTGTACAATCTGTCGGTAAACCTTTGCGAATTTCTCTCCCTCTCCGTTTTAATCTCGAGTGACTCTTTTTCCAGGGGCGGGACAGTTTCGCGGCGAGCGAGAAGATGGGACGGCCGTTACGGCCGTAGCCCGTCGAGAGAGGCTGCTCGCGTTCGCGAGTCGGATGTCAAGGAGGCCCGTTTAGCGGTAAAGTGGAAAGTGAAGGTGCCACACCAGTTCGCACGTTGGCAATGACGTCGCGCTCGCGACGTGCGTTTCTTTCGTTCTCTCAGGTGCAACACATTTCCCTCCGTCGTCCGGACGCACGCACACGTGCGGTGACACGTGTGTGCGCTCCCTCGCTCACCAGTAGGTACACCATATGCGCGTGAAACAAATCTTATGTAAACGCGAGTGAAACCGCCAACGTACCGAATTCACCAGCGCATCAGTGGTCAATCCTCGCTCCTCCCCCGGACTTTAGCGGTTTTTCGTTTCAGCGCAGACTGACTGTAAAAAAAGCTCTCTTGCCCGCCAGGTTCTCTGGAGGATCAGAGATCGAGGGATCTCCCGACCGATCAACGGATCAATTAAGCAGACGATACGCCGCGCTCGAGCGTTTCGTGTCCAATTAGACGAGTATCATATATGCAGCATGTTTATTTCTGTGATAAAGTAAATATACAAATATAGAATATGCGAGTTGTGAGAGCGAGCTGTTTAGTATGCAATTACTCATTGGGTCGTTACGATTACAGACTTCCTTGCTCGCGCGTAACGCATGCCGATCAAAAAGTAACGGCCACGAGGAGGAGCACAAAGAGAGAATCAGGGAAAGGATACGCAACCGGGGAACGTGCTCCGCGGGCGAAGGATCGGTCCAGAGGGGGAAAAAAAAAGACAAGATTAACGTCAATGACGACCTGCTCTAGAACTGGTCCGTCGTAGGAACAGCGAGGCGGCGGAGGCCGGACTATCGAGCCGACACGCATGCCTTAGGAACTCAATGTTAGACGACTGGATGTCGTAATTTTTGGAAAGTAACTCTTATCCATCTCGATAATCGTGGATACGGTACGATACGCCGAGCAATGCGGGTGAGAGCGGAAAGAGGGACTCGGGCAATTGGGAATCGATAGAGATTCGATCTCGGAATTTCGCAATTTCCAGGAAACGAGACCGAGGGATCTCTATGGCGATTTTTATTGCGCGGAACAAGAGAGCGGCGGCCGGGGAAGTCTCGCGCGAGAATTCTAAACGATCTCCTCCGCTTCCCCCCCCGGCTCTCCCGCGCGGACGCGCGCGCTCCGAACTTTCGGGGCAGGGAAGAACGTTTGGCGGAGAGAAAGGTGGACGGGTGGCGAAAATAGCGAGGGCGCGCCTACCTGCGACGATCAAGACGGCACAGAGCAGCACCGCGTCCTGGAGCCTCATCGTTCCGCGCGCGCGCGTGTGTGTCTCCGCGTACTCTGGGCTGGCAGTCGCGTGTTCCCGCGAGTTCCCTTCGCGTGGGCTCGTTCAGCTCGTGCGATCACCGCGACCACGGCGACGTATCATCAGCTGACCGACCGAGCGACCGATCCACCGGGCTGATCCGCTGCCGCGACACTGCCGGTCGCCGCCGCTTCTCGGGAACTGGCCGGCCCAGGAACCGTTCTCAGCTCATTGGCTGACCACTTTCTACCGGCGCGGCGCGGCGCGGCGCGGCGGCCCGCCGTCGCGGCGAGCCGACGAGAAAAGCTGTCTCTCACGTCTCGGACGCGACACGCCGCAGCCGTGAGATTCACGGCTCGCTCGCGGGCCAACTTGCCCTCCGGGCACTTCTCCGCGCGTTTCGCTTTCAAACAGGGACGGATCGGCGCGCCGGACTCCGCGGCGCGTCTTAACGTCGGACGAGTTGCACGATGAACGTCGTCGCGCCGCTCTGACAATATTCTAGAGTTGGAACTGTCCGGCTAGAATGTTACGCTTCTATGTACAATCGTATTTGCGCAAGCTAGAAACGACAATTGTGTCGATCGCAACAGTTTTACTTGATATTGTAAAGACTCTGTCGGGACGCTCGATATGTATAGCGACATCCACGTGTCGTGGCAACGTCGTTGAATGCAAATGCGCCCGCTAAAGTTTGCGCACATTCTTAATTAGCTCCTGACGATCAGAGTTATACTATTACGCTATCATACATATATATATATAGATATTATAGAAATATAGTTAATTTTCGTCGAATTAAGCCGTGCGGAAGCTCGTCGTTATTAATCCCGTAGGATTCGGAGTCAGATATGGTATCCACCTTCTCTAGGATCTCAACGGCAGCGCGGGCCGCAGAAATGCCCCGCTTCTTAACGAGGCGATTTAGGAACCGGTCAGAGCGAGTCTCCGTGCGCGCGGCCGACGACGGCGCTCACAGCTCGATTTTAGCAATCTGCGGTCCCTTTTTGCGTTTTTCCTTCTTCGCCGGCCTCTTCTTCTTCACGGTATCCTCGCGCTGGCCGGCGTGGGCGGCGCTCCTGTACGGATTAAAATAGCCCGGCTCGCGCTCCGTCACGTTCAGCTCCTGCTCGACCAGCCGGAACATCGTGATGGTCGATTTGTTCAGCAGATGCCGCGTCTGATTGGCGAAATTCAGAGACCAGTGTATCGTGGAGTTCCATCCCGGCTGCGTCCTCAGTATCCTGTGACTGATGTCCGGCAGATGCAGGACGATGTCGCCGAATAGCGCGGTGTTCTCCAGGATGCTGGACAGCGCTGCGAAAAATACGGTGAGTCAAGTCCGCGAAGCTCGTCCCGATTCTCTCATTCTTTACGAAATTGTCGTCATCGCCCGCGTCGATTTCTAATTGATTTTAAATGATTTCAGATGCCCGCGCGGTGACTCAAATAATTAGCTCGGCGAGCAAGGTTTCAGCAGTTCGAGGGGAAATGTTGCGCCGGTGTCTACTGCGTACGCGTCGATTCCGCCGCACAATCCGACGGCAGATCGTTGACAGAAAAACCGAGGAGACTCCGTCATTTTGTAATCGTTTAAAACGGTTGCGCAACGGCAGACTCCGCTCGGATTTCTGCACTCGATTCCGCCGTCGCATTCCGCGAGCGGATTCCGTTACATCTGCCATCGTAGCACATTCCACCGACGAAGATTTGTAGCGGGCGCCTTTTGCGAAGTCCGTTTACACGACAGAGACCCAAGCGTACCGTCTTTCACGCCGGTGTCCACGGGGAAAGAGCTGTTGTGCGGCAGGAAACCGGCCTTCCCGATTACGCTCCTACTCGATTCGATGACCTCCACTATCTTCTCCGTCAGCACCGCAATCATTTTGTACAGGCGCTCGTAATTGTCCATCTTCAGGAGGGTCTGCACGGCCTCCACGTGGTCCTTTCGCCGTTGAGCAAATAGTTTCTTGACTGTCGCAAAAATGAAAACGCGATGAAGCGGGACAAGTCGACAAGGTGACGAAGCGATAAGATTGAGAGCGGGAGCGCAGACTTTTGCACAGAAATCGACTGGTCCATAGGCAAATGCAAAATAATAACGAACCAATTTCCTTTGTGCGCTCGTGCAAAAGCCTGTGCTCCCGCCTTGAAGTGACGCGGCGTCTGTAAAATGAAATTCAAGGCGTAGGATTTGAAAAGCTGACCAATCGCAGTCGAATGTAAGGAGACCAATCGACCGCGAGTGGCCAGTTCTACTTGGGGCCAATTCTGGGACTCGATTCTTGAATTCATTCGAAGGAAACGCGTAGATTCTGCTTTTGCAGAAAAGTTGCAAGTTGCTTGGCTATTCGTGTGGTTTTTAACCAGGGTTGGGAAAGTTACTTTATAAAAATATCTAGTTACAGCTACAGTTTTTTCAGTCACAGTTACTCAAAAAGTAAACTAATCGTTACTTTGTAGTTACTTTCTTGCAACGAAATTAAAAATATCAAATCTATTCGGCCGTGTTATTTTTTTTCTCGCATTTGAAGCAGAACGCAAAGCCACGCCGCTTCGGGGGGGAGGAAGAAAGCGCACGTTGACGTTAAATAACGGAGCTACCCTAGCGGAAAAAATTTCTATAAACTACAAAGAATTGACTTGAAATAGAAATTTGTAGAAATTTTTATATCTTCGTTGAAACATTAATTTTTTTGTAAAAATATCTACAAAATAGTACCACAAATTACAATGTTCTCAAATGAAGTTAAATTATTGCAAATAGTATTTCATGACAATGTACAATCTTGTAAAAATTAGTACAAAACTTTACTAGTTTAAAAAATTTGAGAAACAATAAAATCTTAAAGAATTAAAGCATCTGCTTGCTTGTAGAATATTACAAAAGTGAGCAAAAGTGTTCCAATTCTAGCATTTTCGTGTTGATTTTTATATAACACTTTTTAAATTCACGTAGAAAATTTCTTAGATTCTGGCAGTTGTATTTAATTGTTTTGTAGAATTTTGTAGAATTATTTCCGGCGTGGAAGGAAGGGGAACGAAGCCGGCGACACGTACACAGCTCCTCGTCGAGCTTCGATTTGGATTCGCCGCCCTTTCGCGGCTCGCTCGCGGCCGGCTCGTCCGTCTCGCGCTGCGCGTGCGCGAGTACCGTCAACAACACCAACGCAGCCAGAGCGGCGTGAAGGGGAACGCGCATCTTCTCGAGGGCCGAGGATCCACCCGGCTGAGCTGGACGACGTCGCCGAGCGGCGTCCACCTCGTCGCCGTCGGGAGGATATCAGCTGCGGCGATACCGGCGATACCGATTGATTGTGTGATTCGAACGCGGCCACGCCGCAGTTCCGGCCAGCGGCGACACTGAGGCCGCCTGGCGGCGCCGGCGGGACCTACGCTCGTCGAGGCCGTCATGTCATTCCCGGAGCCGCTGGACTCGTCGTCGGGATCGGTCGTCGTATCAGCGGGTGCCGTCACGAGTCACCGGACGCCAGCCGTACCGGACAGATGCGGCAGCCTCATCGTCGCCTCGCGTCGCTGCCGATAACGTGTCGCGAGCGCAGACCGGCGCGGTGCTGAGTCGAGACGCGCGCGCGTGCGTGTGCGTGCCGTCGCGGACGACGATTACCCCCTCGCGCCCGATTGATATCAATTGATATGCCCGGAGCGCGTCGCGCGCGGGACCGTCGACGTTACGCTCGCTCCTCTTAGCTCCCGTTTGAACACTCGAGTCCCCGCCGGCAGCGAATATGGCGGCGATGGACGGCGACACGAAGCTCGACGTAAGTATCGTACGCCGCGCGGACCCGTGGGACTCGCCACGGCGAACGTGTCCTCGGGGAGACGCGAGACGCACGCGGCATACGTTTCCGCCTGACGTGCGGCCGCGTTCCGTGTCTGATGGTTTTTGTGCTACGTGCCACAGATGTACGACGATGTCGTGTACGCGGTCGATCCCCAGCATGTCGAGGGTGAGATGACAGTGGGCACGAAGAGGACCCTGGGAGAGCCGGAATTCAACACGCTCGACGAGCCAATCAGAGATACGATCGTACGTGCGTCCTGCATCCTCTCGTTACTTGCGCTCCAAAGCTGCGTCAAACGTTTGCTTCAGAGAAGAATATACGGAGCCGGGAAGTGGCAAACTTTCCGACTTTTCCTCGTAGTGGAAAGCGCTAGATAGGACACAAACGCCTGTGTCCACGATGCCGGAACTTGGTCCGAGTTCTAGTGTAGCCTTTATGGAATAGCTGCGAGTTGATTGATTATACATTTCTCGGAACCAGAACTTGGACTGGGTTCTAGCGTCGTGGACACAGGCCTTAAGAGCAATCTTTCGGTATTGCTGTCTATTCGTAACGAATTGCGTTCTAAAAGTAACGTCCTGTAAACAAAAGTACCTGTGCATATTCCGTGGCAACCGCGTCGCAAGGTTCTTTCAAGTTTTTGACTTGATTTCAAGCTCTTGGTTGCTGATTATTGAACAGATGTCGATCGAATTCGCTGCCGCGAACGAGGTTTCGAGGAAAAGGGCGTTTGATACATTTGGCAGCTGATTCACGAATTATATCGCAACTTATTTAATATAGTAAATCGTTACTCCTTTAGAACGAGTCCCGAAAAAGTTGCCAGATCGCGCTGCAGACTCTGTATCCTTGACGTTTTTTAACGCACACACGTGTTTCTGTCTGTTACAGTTGAGGGACGTTCGAGCGGTAGGCAAGAAGTTTTTCCACGTTTTATATCCCAAAGAGAAGAAGAGTCTGCTGAAAGAATGTGAGTTTTTATATGAACGACAGAACTCTGTTATCAAGAAGGCGGAGCTGATTGTTTATGCATTTCAGGGGATCTATGGGGACCATTGATATTGTGCACTTTTATGGCAATGTAAGATATATTTACAAAGATATTACGCATGTATACGGAAACGGTTGTAGACCCGCGTTATGACTTACAATTACTTCGTTCAGGATATTGCAAGGTTCCGCTGATGTAGCAGACAGCTCGAATGACGGAGGGCCTGAATTTGCGGAGGTGTTTGTTATCGTGTGGATTGGATCTATGGTTGTTACATTGAATTCGAAGCTGTTGGGTGGAAATATGTAAGTGAAATGAATTGTGCGCCCTGACTTGGCTCATGATTATTCAAATAGTTGCGAAACCGTTGTTTTAATGTGCGTGATACAGAAAAATATTAAAATTTACAGATCTTTCTTCCAAAGCGTTTGCGTCTTAGGGTATTGTCTGTTACCGACTGCCATCGCGTTAATTTTATGCAGAATTATACTGATTGCGCAGCAGAGCACTCTCCTATTTACTCTTAGATTCGTGATCAGCATAATTGGATTTTTATGGGCAACGTATGGTAAGCATCTCGATCATTTCCAGTAAAGCCAGCGGCGCGCGATGCTTTCTTGCTTGCGTACACCTTTGCTGGCTGGCGAGAACCAATTAGGATTCCACGTGACAGGTCAGATGAGTTAAGATCGTTATTGGCTCTCACCAGTCAGCAAAAACACAAGCAAACCAGCAGGCAAAAAAGCATCGTGTGCCGCTGGTTTAAGATTGCTTTTTTCGCAACTTAAGCCAACGGCACACAATACTATTTTTCCTACTGGATTGCCTACGAGAGCCAGTAAGGATGCAGAGGTTTAGATCAGATTGAGGCTAAATTCTGATTGACTCTCCTAAGCAATCCAGGAGGGAAAATAGTATCGCGTACCGTTGGCTTCACATCTTTCGACATACGAGTCGCTACTTCAAAGAAATGTATCGCTACATTAAAGTTTCTATTAATATTTTAGCATCTATGGCATTCCTTGGCGACAGTCAACCCGCGGGGAGGAAAGCATTAGCAGTATATCCAATTTTTCTGTTTTACTTCGTTATATCGTGGCTAGTTATATCCCACACCACCTAAAAAATGCAGCACAACTAATCTGTTACAAGACTGTGCATTGCTCCAGCCTTCCGTGCAAATTTCAGAGAATGAAGAGAAAAAAAATGAACGGAAGGAGATGCAATGTTTTTTTTTCATATGTATTTTCCAAGTCCTGTGTCTGGACGTATTCCAATATCATGCTTTTGTGAATAATACGCATACGGTAAGCATATGTATATTTATGAACTTGTTAGATTCTCATTCAATACGTCAATTATGAGATCATTGTAACTATATTTAATCTCACTAAATCTCACATTACGATTGAGAATTTGTTGCCGATATATGAAAGAAAGTATATTCTTTCTGAATGGAAAAATTTATCAGATTGGTATATATTTATACGGACATGACGCAAGAAGAAAAAAAAAACTATGCAGTACAGGCGAAATATAATTGCTTGTCATTGATTCCAGACTGCTGCATCTGGGTATATTCTGTACTTCCATAAAGTTTTAACGGTCATTAATTTTTTTTATCGAAAAAAAATTTCGATTGTGATTGTAACATTAAATTTAGACGGTGCAAAAGTTTAAAGTATAATTTGTATCTTTTTGTATATTATGTACATAGAATTACGTTTAAACTAAATGGTACAATAAAATAATACAGTATAGAATATAAGGATCTCTCGTCGTTTACTTCACGTATGCGAGAAGTATCTTTGCAGTTTCCGCAAAAGAGTCTTGCTGTCGTAATGTCCGGGATACGTGCTCAACGACTTTTGTACTGCGATGTAACTCGTCTGTAGGTCTCCAACCTGCGTGCGCATCGAGAAAATCTGTAATACTGTAAATTGGTATACGTCAAAAGATGGATTAGGAACAGTTACCTCGTAAGCTAAGTGCGCGCTGTTGAAGTGCGCCTCGTGCACGTAGCTGGCGATGTTAGCCGCCGCGTGAAAGTACGTCCTCGCCGCGGTAACATTCCCGTTGCGCATTTCTATCACGCCGAGATTGTTGTACGCCAAAGCGTGCCTGTTGTCGCTAGCGATGGCTAGCCTTAAACACTCCTCGGCCATTATCAGATCGCCCAGTGTCTGCAATCGCACCCAACCGTACATAGCTTAATTATTTTAACATTACGAAATAAACCGTACGTACAATAGCAATGTGAGAAACGTTGTACCACACGTCAGCCGCGTTTTCGTCGGTCGCGAGATTTAATGCTCTCTCGAAGCACGATATAGTATGATCGTATTGCTGGGCGTAGAAGCAGCAAAGCCCGAGGTTGTTGAACAACTCGGCGTTGTGCACCCCCATTTGTAAGAGGCGCCTGGAGCATATATTTATCGAAATTTATTTATTGTTATATGTATATAAGTAAAACGCTGAAGATACAAATGGACCTGAGTTAAGAAAGTAAACCGCTGCAAAGGTAAAAAGTGTACGCACGGTCCACTTGTATTTTCAATTCTTTCAAGTCTTTCGTATTGCATTTGATATGTACGTGTTACCTGTAATAGCGCAGAGCCAATTCCGGTTGATCGTTGTAAAAATGATGCATGCCTATGCTGGCGATCGCCTCGGTATGAGACGCGTCCTCCTGCGCGATCATCTTGTAATATTTCATGGACATGGCCGCGTTATTCAGGCCCTCGAAGATGCGTCCCATCTCTGTGAGAATGGTAACGTCGTTCGCGAAGTATTCGAGGCCCTTCTTGCACGTGTCCAGCGCGGTCACCGGCTGATCGAGCCTGATGTATACCCTGATCAGCCGCAGCACCGTCTCGATGCTCCTGTGATCCTTCAACGCCGACTTGAATTGTTGCTCCGCGTCTCTTACCAGTCCCAACGTGTAGTAACACTTCCCGAGCTGAACTTTCCACCACCAATCTTTATATTGACAGATCTGCGTCGCCTGAACGGCCAAGTCCAGCGCCTGCGATGTGTTCAACGGCACACGTTTAGGTTGTTACAATACCTCGATAATATCAATATAATTGTACACGACTCACGTATCTAGCATCGTGTTCGTGGTAATATATGTATTCGAACAATGGTTTCGCTATGCTTTGCTGATTAGCGTATTTAGTTATATTCAGTCGCGACAGTTGGATGAAAGGTCCACCGGGCTCCGTCAGCATCGACGCTGTGCCAAGCCTTGGAGGACGAACATAACGTTTAATCTTTTCTCGATATTAAGCAGCATGTAAGTCGCACATTATACCTAACGCTGCGTCCCGAGCTTGCTGTAATTGGCCTGGCAGTCATTGCTGTTCTCGGTGTTCTCAGTGCCTGCTCAATCGATTGGGACATCGCTGCCTGGGTGGCAGGTCGTACTACCCCGGTAACAGGTCTACCTTTAAGGCATCAATGCACAATCTCGTTTTAGAGTCACAAACGCAAAGTTAAAGTGGAATTTTTTTTCTAGACGAGCACGACAAACCGGATTGAGATTTAGGCCGCACTCCTTGACCGGTATAACTGGTGCCAGGATTTTTCAGGGAAGTTCCGGGCCTGGGCATCGTCGAGATCGCGTAATTGTCTAACAAGGTCTCCGCGATTCCCTCCTCCTCGCCCTCGATGTCGTCCACGTAAACTTGCAGCGTTAAGGCGCGCATTTTCAGGACCCACACGGCCTGGTAGCAAACTCGTGTAACGATTCGCAAGTACTACTTTCTGCGCGAGGAAAGAAGAAGAGACAACGCATACCTGGTCCAACGGATTTTTCCTCAACAATTCCGTGCATATCGCGGCGCAGGCTTCGTACTTTTGTCGACTGAATAAGCTCAGAGCTGTGAATAATTCCATGTTTTAGGCAAAGTCTGAAACCCCGGGACATCAGTTCTGTAGCATTGATCCGATTAGACTATACCTCTGTACTGTGCTTCAAGTAATCACCTGCCTTATGACCGTCGCACATACACAAGCGAAGTTATTGATTATTCCGGGTTATTCTTTCGACGGCGTAAAATGTAAAGGTTGTAATCGATGCAACAGTACAACAGTACAGATACACATACGATTGGTATTTGTTCTTAATTATGCGAAATGATATACATTCGATATAGGTTTTGACTTTTTTTTTCTAGCGTGGACGTGAGCGGATAAAATTGTGAAATGTATTCCTGGCATGATCTGGATTTACTTAAATAATTACAATCTTTATATCTTTTTATTTACGAAAAAATTGTAATTGTTATGGCATTTGTTGGTAAAAATCATCCAAGGTTAGTTTTTTAAAAGTAACCGATTGCTATCGTCACAAGTTATAATTTTTATGTATTTATTATTTGTACGATTATCATTGTAGCATACAGGAAGCGTTTCAGCGATTTTTCGAGACGAAAAATATAGAAGAACAATGCACCGAGCAATCTTTGATATGTTTGCACAATGCCTTTTTGGTATGTATAACTAAATGCCTTTCTCCTCTATTGATTTGATTTCACAAAAACGAGCGCCTTTCAGGCAACGGAGAATGGGGAGATGAACTCCTCTCAACTGTACGATGCTTTCCGAGACATCCTCGAGATAAGAATGTCGCGGGACGAGTTCCAGGTTTTCTCCAAGAAAGTCAGTTAATCGCTCCTAAAATTTCTTTCAAAATGCATTTTCCACGCATTCCTTTCGAGCGTCTTTCAAAACATAATTGTCCATTCCAGATAGACACAAGACTTGACGACAGGATAACGTGGGACGAATTCATTTCTTACCTGTTGATAGAATTCCGGGACATAGACACTAGTCTGAGATCGCAAATGTTGGAAATGCCATTAACGGATTTACCGAAATTACTAAGAACGCGTCATCGCACGCCTGTGTGCAGAATTACATTTTGCCCGGAAGTTTTGCCGGTATGCGTTCAATATCGAAGATCCCGATGCGCGAATCGGTCGCCTCCACTTTACAGCCAGAGGAAACTGACTATCGTGTATCGAACAGTACACTAAGAGAATTTTCTCTTAAAATTTATCCTGAAAATTATGTGGGACAACATGGCATTTTGAAGAACTTTATGAGAAAACTCTCATATAATTCTTTGAGATGCCGTTTTGTCCCACGATTAGATAATTTTCAAGATAAATTTTAAAAGAAAATTCTCTCCGTGTATCTATTCACTTTATACAATGTGTTGGAAAACTGGCTCGTAACAGAAAGCAAAAAGACAAATTAATAAAATTCGTATGGCTCAAATGTGATAAACACAAATTTGATGGAATAAAGGACTAAGAGCCGTGACAGGGTGTTAGTGTCTAAATACTTTATTCTAAATTTATTGCGAAAAAATATAATTTTCAGGATAAATTTTAAGAGAAAATTCTCTCAGTGTATTGTTCAATATCCAGATTCAAACCCTGGCTGAGGTGATATTTTTTCGCAATAAATTCAGAATAAAATATTTAGACGCTAACACCCTGTCACAGCTCTTAGTCCTTTGTTCCTTCAAAAACAAAAAGAGTCGAGATTCTCTTGCATCGATTACTCTCTCGAAAAATAACTGCTGAAGTGTGTCTCCTCACGGCCAGGTTTATTATGTTAAATTTTAGGACAGAAGCACGAGTTTCCGCCGAGGATGTTACCTGACTGTTAGCCGGGAGGGAGTGATTAATTATTGGTCGCTGGATCTCGAGTACGAGCGTACCGTGCAATCTAAGAATCGTCAGTACTTCATTAGCATCTCTCTCGTCTTCGGCTGACGCTTTTGTCGGTGTTTTCTGTTTGCAGCGTACTTAAAGGTGCAATCTACCGCTATAACTGATATGATCGTGCTGCCGGACGTTCAGATAGTGTGCACGAGTTCGACGGAATGCGATTTGAGATTCTACGACGTTGCGGTGAAGAAGTTTGATCTTCGCATACTGGTCGGTGTCTAGCCCAGATTTTTGTTTTTTTCGTGAAACTGTCTTCATCTGTCCGTTACTAATGCACGGGGAGAATTCGAATTCTTTTAAAATTTATCCTGAAAATCATGCGATCGCGGGACATGGCATTTTGAAGAACTTTATGAGAGTCTATTGAGATGTTACTGGTAAAATTTCAAACACTTCTCATAACATTTTGCGTATCACGATTACATGATTTTCAGGATATACTCTCTAAAAGTCAATCGGCGGCTATTCACTGTTTTCAGTGATAATTCACTGACTGACCTTTATAGAGCAAAGTTTAAAAGGAAATTCTCACTGTATAGTTTTAATTAATAGCGAATTATATTTCTCTAGATATCCAGCTTGGAAAATGCAGTCGTTTGTATGCACTATTACTTCAGTACAAACGCGAACGAGAATTCTTACGTCATTCTGGGCGACACGAGTGGATCCGTCACAATCATGGCCTTTAATCCTGCGGACAGAGGACCTTTCAAGCAACATACCGCATGCGACACGATCCTCCTTCGTTACGACAACGTCATTAAAGTAACACAAGGATTACCTGGATATAGAATAGGATAACAAATTAACCGCGGAAATTAAGCCCATTTAAAACTTAAACGTTTAAATGACACGTTCCATTTAAATAATTACAAAATAACAGACTTTGCTCAGCTGCTGCTGGTAGATTACGTCAGGCAGGTTCCATTGGCAATCTGCTAGCATTTTGCTTACTGGGATATACGAAATGTACATATGCCTTGCGAGTACAAACGTCTTTCTAAAAGATTACCGCGATTAGGGAGAGCTGCAAGGATTCGACGTCACAGTGTTTAGGAACATACATACAAACTGGACGAGCCAGGTGGCTTATTACGAAAGTTTACGAACGTTTGTATCGAGTAGTCAGTGCTCCGACTGTTCCCTGTGCGTTTTCGATGCGAGCGGCGCGAGGACGCAATATAAATTTCAAGTTCCCATGGGAATATCCTGTTTCACGCTATGCGACGGTACGCTCTCGCTTCGCAGTCGCGTATCAATCGGTCGATTTTAAGAATGTCGACGTAAATGGAAAATGTGACGGCCTTTTCAGAGAATCGCGTACTAGTAACGGGCGGGCCAGACTGCGTGGTGCGCGTTTGGAATCCGTTTGTCCCCGGGAAGGCGAACGCCGTTCTGTCGGGGCACCGCTCGACCATCTGCGCGCTCGTCGTGATAGACGCCGGCAAGCGCATTTATTCTGTGTCGAAGGACAGATGCATAAAGGTGTGGGATGTTCCAGCTCTTAGCTGCATTCAGGTTCGTGAAGTCCTCTTCTGTCTGTTGCACATTTTATTTCGTTTGTCTTTGAACAAATCATGTATCTCTCAACAAATACGTGCGTATCTCACAAACAGACGTACAACAAGTTGTCGAGTGAGCTGAGCGAATACGCCCCGGTGACCGTGGCGTTCAACACCCTGACTCGTACGATGATTATCGCCAGCACGATGATAGCCGTCCTCGTTTGCGAGCGTGTGATCAACAAGGAGACCTCGGACGGCTATACGCACACCAAGGGCGTCAGTTGTGTTCTTTACAATCAGCTGTTTCAAGTGGTAACTCTCTTTTTTCCTGTCCGACAAAACTGCCGTTGATAAAACTTTGTTAACGAGACGCTACGGTACTTGTTATTCCACCGGTATGCAGATTGTCTCCGCAGGATTGGACTCGTGCATCATCGTGTGGGATCCGTGGCGTGGACGTCGCTTGCGCTTGATATCGCACGCCCACAGTATCATGCGATACGGGCAACACGTCGACGTCGAGATCACGGCAGCTTGCTTCGATAATTCGGAGCAATTCTTAGTGACCGGCGCCAGAGATGGTTCGTTGAAAGTGTGGAACTACAATACCGGCGTCTGTGTGCGCGACGTGATGGTGGATCACCAATGGTACAGTGGACGTTAAATAACTGCTTGCTTTTTCTTACAAATGTTGTGGCATTTGATTAAATTACAAAAGCTACTACAAACGCAAATTTGACTTTTATTCACATGAAATAATTGTGCTTATATCAATTCTTTATTTATACGACGTAGTCGTATAAATAATTATTAATTCACACAATTTTCTTCCAGAAAATTTCCATTTTCATACCGTTCTTTATATTCTTTTGTAGCGAAATAACGGGTGTCGCATGGCACGAAAATCGAATCCTGTGCTGCGGTTGGAATAAGCACGTGACAGAACTGGCGGCTTTCGAGTCTGACGTATGCAGAAAGAGTTGGACGACCAGTCATACCGACGACATCCTGTGCTCGGCCGCGAAACTTCCACAGCTGCTAGCTACCGGAACGTACAACGGGGAGCTGATTCTCTGGAGGCTCGAAACGGGCCAGCCTTTTAGAAAGTACCAAGTGATTGATGTTAGTAAAAGGTGACGTTCAATTTGGCATTCGTCATGAGGAATAATTGACATGGCAGACGGCGGCGACACGCAATCATGAAGCTAATTGATTTAATAGGTACACGGGAAAGACGAACACGCGCAGATAGAGTCCGGAAAAGCGGATGAGCTCGGCAGAATCAAGTAAATTATAATGCGCTCATAACAGCGAAAGAGAGTGTTCTAAATCGATTCCTCGTGAAACAGACATCTGACGCCCTGTGCTCACCAAGAGTCAGCATTGAACGTCGTTCGCGTGACCGCAGTACGCGCGATAATCTTCCTAGCCGCGCGAGAAGCCAAACCGAACGTCGGCACGCTGGTGGTCGCGCTCGATTCCGGCTTGGTGCAAGTCTGGACGCATCATCCCGCGGCGGGATTTTTAGCGGCTTTCTCAGCAGTCCACGCTACCGGCGACTGCGCCACGTCCCTGGCCACCGATTCTGAAAATCAATTTCTCGTAACAGGTCTTGGAACTTGCCAAAGACTCGATTCGAGCATCGTTAAACTCTTCGCGACTAAATACCACAATTTCTTCATTCGATTGTCCGCAACTTTACCCCTGGGACTTTTCTCTCAAGGCCACAGTGTGGGGTATATGAAAGTCTGGCTCCTCTCCAATTACATGCTGCCGAATCCGCCGAAGATATGCATGCCGCTGTTGAGATTGGAATTTCCCTTCTTGTGGAAAGACAAGATAGACGGGAGAGCGAAAAGAGCGGTGCGAGATCAGCCGCTGCCGCTCCTGCTGTCGTCCGTGCGCGGTCACACGCGGGGGATCACCACTCTCCAAGTCATTTCTAGCGCGCGAATGATAGTCAGGTATACAGGATCGCTGTAAAGTTTGACACAGGCGCGGTCTCTTTACCAAGAAACTTGAACGGATAATAGTGGCAGCGCGGATCGCACGGTACGCATGTGGAGTTTCGGCGGTCGTTACATATCGACGCTGGGCACGTTTAGAGATTGCGCCACAATTTTGCCCACCGTGCCCGTGCAGAGGTACTTCGAGGATTATAAGCTACCGGCGGACATTAGAGGGCACGCCAGTTTCACCACTCTGAAGGTAAACATTTGAAAAATTGTATACGGAAATGCACGACGTATAACGCCGAGACGATGCGAAGGTACTTCACGGCGGCATGAGACGAGGACCGGTGGAGATCGAGGAAGAGGAGACCGATATCCCGAAAGAGATCCTCGAGGAGGAGCGACACATGTTGTACGGGAAGGATCTGGACGGTGTTACGCTCGAGAATTACTACAAATCGCAGTTGCCTAAAAGAACGTATCAGAAACGTCTGCGATTAGATAATACCTTGCCATACGTGAGTACACGCTTTGTATCAAGATATTTGTTTTCTGTAAGATTTACTTTATTATATATCGTTATATAATTAGAACTTATGGAAATGTCATATTCGTAGATACCAATTTATGCGCATTTACCAATATATTCTTTGAAACCGGTGGAGGCGCAGAAAACACTCTTGCTCGGACAGAAAATGGAACTGGCGTATGGATTTTTACTTTTATTTTGAAATTATCAAAAAATATGTATCGCACAGGTGAGGTGTTTGTTCAAATATTTTGTAAAACTCTCATTATAATTACAGTAAAAAGGTATATTTAAGAAGAGCGACGAAACCACTGCGTTCCTCTGTGACGGAACGAGCGAAAGGCACTTTTACAAGATCAAATCTACCGCAACGTTAATTCTCCGTGAACCGAGCCTCATAAAGCTCTTGCAAAACGTTAGTAAAACAGTATATACTTTACAAATTGTATAAATCGAAATGAGATATTAATTTAGTTTTTATTCAAATTAGTAAAACTCGTATTCGTATAACAATTATCTTTCGATCTAATTATTTACTAACTGAATCGATCATCTAATTACATACATGCTTTCTTCTACAACTCTAGCGAATATAATAATGATGATATATAAATAAGTAAAATAAACATTGTCCAGTTGTAAAGATGCTATGTCGTAACTTTGCGAGCATCTCCGTTGTAAGATGTAACAACGAACCACGCGTCCTCTAATTAAAACAATTTGTCTTAAGGGGTAACACCACCCTTGAGGCTCTAAAACTATATCTAAGTTTGGGAATTTTTGGGGGGCAAATGAATAACTTGATTAAAAAACATAAACTACATTATTGTGCACATACTTGACTATAAAAAAAATATTTTTAGTAGTTATAAATGGCGGCGTACTGGCACACTTCCGTAATCGCACTTTTTAAGCTTTGCGTGCAACGCTATTCTTACAATTTTTATCCGATTAACTTGAAATTTTAACATGATCTTCTTCTATATATCGCGCAACAAAGTACGTAGGACTTTTGAAAAATATTGAAAACTTTTTGCAATCACAATTTTTTAAATCAAATTTTTGACCAAAAAAAGGTACTTTTTCCTAAAATAGCTGTCATTTTGGAAAAAATGGGTATTTTCTAAAACGGCTACGTAGTTTGCAACTTCAAACAATATAGAAAATAAAAATTTTTGGATTTTTGTTCTAGGGTAAACCATCTCAGAGAAATCCTGCACGCAAAATCGCGTCTTCGGAAAAAAGTCGATTACGGAAGTGTGCCAGTACGCCGCCATTTTTAATAATTATAACTACTAAAAATATTTTTTTTATAGTCAAGTATGTGCACAATAATGTGGTTTATGTGTTTTTTAATCAAGTTATTCATTTGCCCCCCAAAAATTCCCAAACTTAGATATAGTTTTAGGGCCTCAAGGGTGGTGTTACCCCTTAAATACATGGCATTAAATCGATTAAATAGCACATGTATACAATACCATACCATGGCATCTCTGATCATGTCCACACTTAGGTATTTTCTGTGCGACTCTATGGCAATTTTGGTAAAACAAGTTCGGCTTCCATCATGGAAATACGCGGTGGAGTTTTCCAGATTGCACTGGACGTACGCTTCAGTCGACTTCTATCTATACCATGGAACATTTCGGTCAAATCTGGCGTGCACTTACGAGTATCGAAGAACTTATAAATTATCGCCTCGGGGATATATTGCTGCATTGTAAGTTGCGCTTTGCGAACATGTGCTGCAATTTAAAAAAAAGGACTTGTATTACTCTTTTTGCTCTCCTCGTTTTTATTTTAGTGAGCATTTAAAGTATCGCAAAGAACTTACCTTGTGCCCAGTGCGGTATCTCGTGTTTCGGTCTGCTTTCGTCATCTGAATCGTCATCATCAGGTTCACTATCTAATACGTAAGTCACGGCACCTTGGTATTTATTGTTGATTTGTTGCTTGTGCTGTGAAAAAGAAATGCGAGCAATTCAGTTAGATGAGCGCAACTTGAGCTCACTTCTTTGGCGAGTGATGTAAAGGACAATTCACCTTGACTTGAGCCGCAAGCAACTGATTTTTCTGTTTCAACGCTTCGGCGGTGGCGGTGGCTTGTTGGGCCCTCGCTTCCGCCTCCCTACGCTTCTCGGCTTCTTGCTCCCGACGTCTTTGCTCGGCGAGCGTACGTTCCGTCTCCTCTTGCTCTTGCAACCTCAGCAATCTCTGTTGCTCCTCCAACTTGCGGCGCTCCTCCTTCTCCTGCGTTCGTTGCAACGCGGCGAGACGCTTCTTCTCCAACTCCTCGCGTTGCTTCTCCTGCATCATAAGGGCCACCCTCGCCTTCGCCTCCTTCTCTTTCTCGGCTTTACGCCGTTTTTCTAATTCTTCTTTCTCCTTGACCTCTCTCGCCAATTTGTTCTTCAGTTCTTTCTCTTGCCGTTTCCTGTACACAAAGTACATACATGCATATACGAGATACCGTCCCGACAATTGCGCGTCCGCATTATGAAACTTTTATGTCACCTTCTCTTCTCCTCCGTCAGTAATCTCAAGGTTTCCTCTCGCTTCTTTTTCGCATCCTCCTCCTGCCGTCTCTTTTCCTCCACTCTATCCACCGAATTGATCTTGGTGGCGCTCTTTAAGGGTTGAATGAAAGACTCCATGCCAGTAATGACGTTCGCGCGCGGGACAGTTGCCTTCGAATGCTAAAATTAAAATACGTACAAATAGACACGCCGCGATGCAATTTGAGGAGAGAAAAAAAAACTCCATTGATCTCACATTTAGGAGAGTTTGCGTGTTCGAAGGGGTCTGAAGACGACTCACAGACAATATGGGCTGCATCAATTTTAATTTGCTTAAAGGCGTCGTTTTCAACTGCTGCGTTTGCTTCGCGTCTGGCTTATCACTTTGAGCCAACAACGTGTTAATTCGTTCTGGCAGTGGTTCTTTGTTCTGTAAAAGAAATTCGTTCAACGTTAACGAAAACCTGGAGGAGCGAACGTAGAAGAAAAGGATGAAAATGATTTGTAAACTAACCGCGGTTTCTTTTACCTCTTTTCTCTCGTCGATCTTCTTCTTTTGTCTCGCCAACGAGATCTTCTTCGCCTTCACGAGCGACTTACGAGCTAATATTTGCGCAACAGTTTTCTCCGCATTCTTCGCTTCCACCTCGGTCTCCGCATTGGCAGCCATTGCGCGAGTTTTCGTTCTAGTTACTCTGACCGGAGACTCTACGTCAACCGGTCTCGGGCTGTGCATAACCGCCTGCTCGAACGCTTCGACCCGCTTCTTCACGGACTCCTTTGCGTAAGGACTGAACAAGGCGCCCGACTTGTACGTCGCTTTGCCCTCTTGTGCTTGCGCGGGCGCAATCGCGTCCCTGATGCGCGTCTTCATCATGGTATTAGGCGTATTAGGGATCTCGTCCTCGCTAGAGGACTGCAAGACTCTGGCTTTTGCCTTTTTATTAATCTGCTTCTTACCAAGCTGCTTCTTCGGCCTTTTCACCTCGGGCGACGATTCGTCATCCGTGATCAGTCCGTTGCAGTCATCGTGTTGCGCGGGCGCCTTGTACGACCGCTTATCGTCTTGCGACTGTTTCCTGGCTCCTCCGCTCTTCGAGGACCTGCTATTTCTCGTGCCCGCCGTCCCCTGGATCACCACTGTTTCGTTCAATTTTGGCTGTTGTGGTAAACGCTCCAATACCACGGTAATGTTCAACGGCTTATGCACAAGGGGACTGATATTTTGGGTCGAATTCATAATCGGAACGGGCTTCCCGATCGCATCCTCGTACATAGACAGCTCCTCAACTTCATCTGCGACAGGCGCAACGATCGCGTCGACCTTGTCCTGCCCACTGCTGGAACTCTTGAAGCTCGCTGTGTTAGAGCTCGTCCTACTGGAGCATTGTACAGCCAGCGACACCGCGCTATCGTCCTTCCTCGCCTTTTTGCTCTCCTTGGCTTTGTCAGCAGGCACAGCGAACTGAGCGGTCAGCTTGGACTTCTTCCTCGTCACTCTTCTCGCCGGTTCTTTGGCGCCCGCTGAACTGTCCTCAACTTTACTGTCGTTATCCTCATCGGAACTGCTCATCGACTTCTTCCTTTTAACCTGGCTCTCTCTCTTTGCCTAATATTCACAAAATACACACGTCACGCAGCGGCCTACAATCTGCGACAAACAATAGCGTAAGCGTACGTAGAAAACCATCGTTACTTACTTTCTTCTCGAGAACTTCGTCTGGAGAGGCGAAGCTTTGCTTCTTGATGTTGTCCGCTGCTCTCTTGGACGCCTGCCTCTTGGCCCTACCGCCCGTTACGTCGCTCTCCTTTTCCTCCTCCTCTTTGACAGACTGAAGGAGGCTCGTTGACGAGATGACGTTTTCCTGATTGTACACCTCGTCCTCCGGTATGGTCTCGATACGCTGGACCGCCTTCTTCCGCAGCACCTTGGGCGTCTTCGGGACGAACGGGCCGGACGACGGCTGTGACAATTGCTCGAACAGATCCCGCACGTAGCACATGGTCCCGTCAAAGTCCTCGGCGAGACGCTTGGACAGTTCCACGCGACGATTTTGGATCAGCTGCAGATCCTTGAGAACGATGTCCCGGATCTCGTCCTTCGGTTGGGCGCTCATGATGCCCGCGGCAGGCGCGATTTGTCGTTTCTGTGCGTTGTATTTACCGCGGGGGACACGCGCGGGGGATCAGTTTAGCTCTTGGCGTTCAGTCGGCGCGGATCCCAGGCGACATTACCGCCTGCTGCGGGAATAGCGCCAATACACCCCGACGCGACAGGAAGACAGACAACTCGGGGGGGACCGAGCACACGCCAACGATCGCCGGTTGCTCCTTGGCGGGCTCGTCTCGAGACGAATCAGAACTCGAGAATCCTCGCGGCCGCTCCGGGACACGGGGGGTAACGACTTCTTTTCCGTTTGATTCGAATGGAAAGACCGCTGGCGGCATCTGTGCGCCCGCCAACGACCGGCCGCGTTCGCAAACGCACCGCGTCGCGTCTCGCGCCGGGAAAGGAACTAGAAGTAAATCACTAGAGATTCAAATCACGACCCGCCAAAAGACGTCGAGCGGTCAGCATGAAATCTGACCCAAGGGTGTATCGCAAGTTCAAATTTGACGAGAGCAACGAAGGTAAGATGGACACATTTTTTGGGAGGGGGGGGGGGGGATGACGCGAGGCTGCGTGGAAGCGCGGACGATTTTGTAAGGGCTCGATCCCAGCCCTCACCCCGCGGATTTAAATGCTAAATGATATCACTGCTGCATAAACGCGAAAGCGTTCCTGTAAGAGAGAATTATTATAAAAACAGGACCGCATCTTTTTACTTCATTACATCCCTTTATAAATTATAATTCTCTTATTTACATTTCTAGTATGTGTGTGTGTGTAAACAGCACACTTTTAATTCATATATCACAATAAATTGTTGTCATCCACTGAGAAACGCAAAAAGTGTAAAACAGATATTTAACTAACACAAGTGAAATTTATATGTGTATGTTAAGATATATCGTTTGATATAATTGATAAACACATATGCACTGACAATAAATTGTTTGCACACCCACATTAATAAATTATACAATTATTAATTGCATAATGTGCAGTAAATTATTTGAATTGGCAGCGCATGATATATGACGTTAGTAATCGCTTGGTCCTACTTTGGGTTATTTTAACTATGAGCCCCGTTCACATTTGTTCTCTCGTTCAGCGTAAACAGGCTCATTGCTTTTAAAATCACATTTTGATTTTCGATTGCTTAACATTTAAATATATATCCTCAGAAAAGTAGATCGATCTGTGAAGTTGATTGGTTTATAATAACGATACCTAATCTAACGATAAGGTGCAAAAGATTTATCACATCACATTATTACGAATGGAACAATCCTTGGGCGTTTTCCAGCTAGGACACACAAAATTGCACTGTGTTACACCGTGTAATTCTTGTTGGAACGGTGAAAGTGTAGGTTTAACTTGTTAAAATCGTACCAGAAGGCATTACGTTAATGGAATAGTACATTTAGGTATTGTATGCTCTTCTTTACTCAGTCTCCTAGTTCTTCATCAATTCTTAATATATGAACATAGAATTCGTAATCCTTCTAGTTCGTGATATAGCTTACGGGCCACCGCACAAGCTTTTCCTTAAAACGTTACGTTACATCAAGCGCTAAAGCCTAATCTACAATGTGCTTCCTGCATCTAGAAACATTCTATTTTATATAAACAAATCGAAACGCTTAAAACATTTGGCGACAATGTACGATTGTACAGTATACATATAATATACAATTCATTCACTTGCGCAAACCTTTTAAATGTATTTAGTGACTACAAAATAGAATGTTTCTAGATACAGAGAGCACATTGTAGATTAGACTTAAGGCTCGGTTGCACCAATGTCGCTTAATTTTAATCTTAGCTTAACTCACTTTTTGTCTCTTTTTAAGGGAAACAGAAAGAGATGAAGAGTGAATTAAGCTAAAGTTACGTGACGTTGGTGCAACCGGGCCTGACTGGTCACGTTTAGCAGAACGTTTATTTTGCAACTGTTGAACATTTTCTGTACTGAGATTGGATTACATTTTTAGAACCAGAGGAATAATCCAATCATAGCACAGAAAACTTCCAATAGTTGCACAATAAACGTTCTGCTGAACGTGACCATTGTAAACTTAGAACCGTTCGTAACCTTAAGCTTCAATCAATGCACAAAGAAAATCGTAAGTTAGCAAAAGCCTGACGCAATAATACCTTATGATTTTCTTCGTTGAATTACTAAGTTTACGTACGAATTTAAGTTTATATTCAGAACTTAACATAACGCGTTGCGGAAAAGCTT